AAGAATCAAAAGAGGATTAATTAATGACTTAGGCTCAATATTCAAATCTGTAACTGGAAACCTAGACGCATCTGATGGAGATCGTTACGAGCAGATCAAAACAATCAAAATAGTTTACAAGGAAATGTTCTGAAACAAAACTCACTTTCTCTAATAGTAATTGAAAAATTTAACCAAACAAATAAATCACAACGAAAAACTTCTAGAATCAAAAATTAACCAAATTGCACACATGGTACAGAAGGCAGCATATAGAGAAAAATCCCTCTATACCAAAGACATAATAAATCAAATAGTCAATATTGGGTGGTATGAATAAAAATGAAGTACTTGCTACTGCTAGAAGTATTAGTATATTCTACGTAGTATTTACTTCAAAACGAAGTAGATATTACATTTCGAAACGACCAAAATTTAGTATCTACTTCGTTTTGAAGTAAATACTACGTAGAACATACTAATACTTGTAGTAGTAGCAAGTACTTCGTTTTTATTCATACCACCCATTATCTATGAGATAATTGACTCTATTTTCCAAGATATAGAAAATTCCTTAATTCGAATGGGAATGTCACGTCCAGGTAATGAATTTTTTTTGGAAGGGAATTCACGAGCTCTTTTTTGGACAAAAATTTCTTTATTGTCGTTAGATTTTAATTTTCGCCGACGTTTCGGTAATGGTTTTTTACCTTCTTCAGGGCTGGAACAACAGTGTACCAACTATCAAAGTTCTTACATAACATTCTCAAAAATCTTAATCCAATATTTACGCATAATGTAAGAAACTCAGTCGAAGTCGTCCAAAAGCTAACTAAATCAACTTTACCAACGGACTATGTCCTAATTTCATTAGATGTGAAATCGTTATTCACTAGCATTCCCAGAGACTTAGTTCTTCATATCCTGCAGATTCACTGGTCGGCGATTGACAACTTCACCAGAGTCGATTTCCAAACGTTCGTTGATTTGATCAATTTTGTCTTTGGCTCAAGTTACTGTCTTTATGACGGAAAGTTTTATAAACAAATATTCGGCACCCCTATGGGGGATCCTTTAAGCCCTATTTTAGCATCTCTAACAATGCATCATATCGCCAGTCAAGCAATTGCAAAATTGGATTTCAATATACCTTTTTTATTTATTTATGTCGATGATACTCTATTAGCCGTTCCAAAAAATAAAATCCGAAATACTCTTGATACTTTCAATTCGATAAATCCTCACCTGCAATTTACCATAGAGCAGGAAAAGGATAACAAACTACCTTTTTTGGACTTATCTATTATTAAAACAGATAACAATCAATTAATTACAAACTTATACAGTAAACCCACCAGCACCGAGCGCTTATTAAATTATGATTCCTCACACCCACTACATCAAAAAATTAATTTAGTGAAACAGTTCAGAAACAAAATATATATGCTTAGCGATGCAAAATTTCACAAGGAGAATTTAAATAAACTGAAGGGTAAGTTGCTGAAGAATAACTACCCCAGAAAACTGATCAATAGATTACTATCCGAAAAGCCCTGCCCCCAAAAAAACAACGCTCCAAATACCACCAATCTCACTCGCAGTCAACAGAGTTTAACTTTTCTCAAACTACCGTATATTTCTCAACAGCTATCAAGGCGGCTCAAAAAGGAATTAACAGGCCAAAACACGAAAATTGCATTTAACACAGATATGGACCAAGTCCAGTCCTGTAGCAGTGCTGCAACAGCACATTCAAAACATTGCTACTCGGATGGAAATTTTGATTCGGTTTTACTGCCTACAATAAAGGTAAAGGTTTTTACTAGTAACGGAGAGTGTTTGATTGTTCGTGGGTTAATTGATAGCGGATCACAAGTGTCTTTTATAGTCACAGATTTAGCTAATAAACTAGGTTATAACACGTTTTCAAACAATTTAAATATTATAGGTGTCTCGAATAATTCAACGAACGTAAAAAAGTCAATTGACGTAACACTTAATTCTTGTGTTCAAAACTATAAAATAAATGTCTCCTGCGCTATAGTAGATGAGATAACAGGCATTTTGCCACAATTTGAATTTAGTAAAAATTCTATTAACCTTCCAAAAAACATAAAACTTTCTGATTTAGAATTCAATAAACCAAATGCGATACAAATTCTTTTGGGAGCGAATATATTTTTTGATATTTTGTTACCTGAAAAAATATTTTTGAGGAAAAATGGATTAATTTTGCAAAATACTTACCTGGGTTACGTTGTAAGTGGTTCCATACCTAGCAACTCGAAAAATATCCAGTCCAGTTTAGCTGTAGCTTCATTTCATTGTATTGTTGATAACGAACCTAAAATGGAAGAATTAATTTCAAAATTTTGGGAAACAGAAAAAGTACCTTTAGTATATAAAGAGTATTCTAGTGAGCAAGAAGCTTGCGAAAACATTTTTAAAAATACTGTGTCTAAAATAAATAATAAATTTGAAGTGTACTTACCTTTGAAAAGAAATATTGAGGATTTAAATCTAGGAGATTCTTTCTCGGTAGCTTTGAAACGATTCGAAAACCTCGAAAAACGATTCAAAAATAATCCTGAACTACACGCAGGACAAAGACAGGTCTTGAGCAGTCTTAATGAATATTTTTGGATAATAAATGGTGTCAGAGAAGTCAAGAAAAATATACACAAATGCGTGATTTGTTTTAAAAGTAAAGCTCGTTGTTCGCAACAGCTTATGGGCTCGTTACCTCGCGATAGAGTTAACCCTGCAAGAGTATTTCAAAATGTTGGTATTGACTTTTGCGGACCCTTTTATACTAAACAGTCAAGAATTCGAAAACCTATAATAACTAAATCTTATATTGCGCTTTTTATATGCTTTTCAGTTAAGGCAATACACATGGAAGTCTTGTCGGACTTGACTACCGATAACTTCCTAGAGGCCTTCAAAAGATTTATATTTAGAAGAGGGAAACCCTCACAGGTTTTTTGCGACAATGGCGGAACGTTTAAAGGCGCAAAGAACAAATTAGATGAACTTAACCGGGTTTTCGAATCTGAAAGCAGAAATAAAATAATACATTTTGTTGCAAATGAAAGAATCGTTTTTAGGTTTATTCCTAGCTACTCGCCAGTATTTGGGGGTCTCTGGGAAGCCGGGGTCAAGAGGGCCAAGCACCACCTTAAGAGAACAATGGGAGAGCGCAGATTGACCTACGAGCAATTAAACACTCTAGTAGTCCAAGTGGAAGGAATTTTAAATTCTAGGCCACTAACTCAATTAACAAACGATCCTTTCGATTTAGAATACTTGACGCCAGGTCATTTTTTAACCGGTTCAGCTATAACAAGCTTTCCTGAAAAAGATTTGACTGAAATTCCGGAAAATAGGTTGTCATTTTGGAATATGGCTACTCAGGTGAAGCAACACTTCTGGAAGCGGTGGCACAAAGATTATTTAGCGCAGCTTCAGAGTAGGCCTAAGTGGCAACACTCGGTCCCTAACCTAAGGGAAGGGCTTTTAGTTTTGCTGAAGGAGGATAATGTACTCTCTCTTCAATGGCCGATTGCCTGAATCACAAGAACAATACCTGGGAAAGATGGCAAAGTTCGAGTCGTTGAAGTTCGAACACGAACAGGTAACTATTTAAGGTCGGTAACAAAAATTGCCGTCTTACCCATCGAGTGACTTGTGACTCAATGTCAATTTTATACATATTTATACATATTTATATAGTTAGATACTTAAGGTTTTTACTATTGTCCATAAAATTGTACATTTTTGTAGATACCTAGATCTTAAGTTGCCTCAGATAGTTTAGGTTCTTAATACTTTTTATAATATTTGTACATTTTGTAAATACAAATTTCAAGTCGCCATTACTAAATATTTTTTGTAGAATAATTTCTAGTAATATCTAGAAGTATTTGACTCTATAAGTCAAAACTTTAAGCTCTATAAGCTGTCTATAATTTATGTATAACTTTCTAAGTTATATAAAATAATAACTTGATTCTATAAATCAAGCCTTTAAGCTCTATAAGCTATCAATAATGTATGTATAACTTATTAAGTTATATAAAATAATAACTTGATTCTATAAATCAAGCCTTTAAGCTCTATAAGCTATCTATAATTTATGTATAACTTATTAAGTTATATAAAATAATAACTTGGCTCTATAAGTCAAGCCTTTAAGCTCTATAAGCTACCCATAATCTATGTACCTATAATGTAACTTTCTTAGTTTCATAAAATATGTAATAACTTGACTCTATAGGTCAAATTTTTGAGGCTCTATAAGCCATTTAATAAGTGCTATATCGCTTAATTATTTTGTGCAACGATGCACAAATATTTTACTCTCGTTTAATTTAAGTTTACAATGTTGTAGTATTTGTAATAATTTTAAGAATCTTTCTTGGCCGCGAGCATGTTGGAAACAATATTCCAACAGTAAATTTAAAATTCAAATTTTAATTTTCCCGGTATGCACCGGAAGTGTGCGCGTATGTGTCAAACAGTGTCAAAAATCACTTGTCACAGTTTTTGGTAAAGTGGCTTCCGGCATCTACGCGAGTGAACCAACGGGAACAGTCAGTGTCGAATCGAACCTTACCGAGCGCACCAGATAATTCTGGGCAGGTCCTATATGACCATTTTTACAGACTCTATAAGTCTAAAAATGTAAACAAAAACGAGAAAATGCAAATTGTAAATAGTGTAAATAGTCGTGTGTGTAAATAAATGTAAATATATAAATAATACAGTCCACTCTCATTATTTTAAAGAAATCAACACCTCCGTTCAACAACGGCATTCTGATTCAACTGGGGCGGCAGGTTTTGATAATTGATTAATCAAATTTACTAAATTTCAGTATCTTGGAGACAGGTTGAAATGGTCATTTAGCTAAAGAGGGAAGTTTTTGTAGAAGATCGAATCATCGTAGTATTTTCTCATCAGGAATTAGCAGATTAACTTGGTACCTACCTATGTATTTATTATTTAAAATAAAAAATTAATCTATTTATAAAAGGTTTTTATTATCAAGTTTATCACCCACTGGTTTTCGTCACATATTTTATCATTTTGTACACACAACAAAGAAAATTGATTTAAGTATAATAAATTAGATATTACCTAAAAATAATCTATTCATTTGAAAAAAATCTAGGATATATTCGGGCAAAAATTCTCAGTATAGCTTCTTGAACGATTTTTATAAAACTAAACATTTTTCACACCACATTTTGGCTTTTGGCAGTATTAAATATAATTCAGATTATTAGAGTCTAGCGAATATATACATGTATTTACTATTAGGCCACGCTCATGATGTTATTCAGACATGAGGTTATATTTCAAGCTTGACACCTGAAGAACATCAAATTTGCTTATTTTTGTTAAACTACTGCTATAAATAATAATGATTTTGATGCATTGAAAATAATGTGAATGGCCTAACGATATTTAAACCTCACAAAGAAAACACCTAATTTTGCTTAAGTCTAATCTTCAATGTCGTTGTCAATTCGACTACTACGGATTCCAGTGTTGCCAGTCCAGGGGTAGATATCAGGACAGGGCTGACAGGTCCTCATATATCTTACGCCAGACTTATGCCAAAGATTGCAAACTTTGGGATTGTTACATCTTTTTGGACGGTCCTATAAATAAAAAAATTATTAGGAACGTAGGTGAATAAATATTCAAATTGAAAGTATTATAATAAAAATTAATGACTTGAACTTCAAACTTTTTCTAAAAATTTTGCTTACAGCATAATCACACTGGAATGGCTGGAAGTTGTTAAGCCTTGATGTCGGAGTAGGGTCGCGCACCCACTGAAGTGCTTGCCAATTTGTAAGTAACCATACATCTTTCATGGCTAAAATGGTGTCGATGAAGGTAATAAATCCTTCTTTATGGTGGGGTTGCGTGAACCAGGCTGCGTGATAGAAGAGACCAAATGGAGCTCTATAACAAATAAAATTTTGATAAATATTGAATAAAACGGAATCATATACTTATATGCGCACGGTGAAAAAGCGTGGAACGTTAATTTCGCCCACAGTGTAGGTATGGACAGAAATTTGCTGCTAATTTTTTCAAATTTCAAAAAAAAAGCGACAGGCACATTCCATTAACTCACTTCATTCGAGCAAAGGGGCCATACAAAGTAACAGAGCCACAACGAACATACGACAATTGTAGACGAATTCGGACTAACCCTTTTTCAGCCACCATGCGCAGCCTAGCTTTGAAAGCGCTGGGGTATACGCGAACTCGTCAGTGATCTGCCTATGTTCGAATTAGCTTGCCTTTAAGTATATTCACGCGCAACGAAACAGAGGCGTTTTAGGGTATTTTAAGGTCGATTAAAAAAAAAAAAACATTCGGACAAGTCATTTTGGTATTCAAGGGGAAAAGTTTGACGTGTACGAGAGGTAGGTAAGTGTTAATTTGAGAATAACTGTACCAGAAAATAGTTTTTTATTTAGCCCATGGCAACTTTGACAGTGAATGTCTTGAGAACTAATTATTCGATTTTCAAAAAAAAAAAACGCACTTGTGACGAGAATCAGAATACATTTAAAAGAAGCTAACACTGGACCCATCTTTCTTATCTAAAAAAGGGGGGTGAAAGTCACCCCACCCAGGAGGTGTACCCTAGCTAATTACCGATGAGGTCAAAGAGTTTCCACCTTGAATACAAAATTGACGTGTCCGAGCGTTTTTTTAAATCGATCTTGAAAAACGCTAAAACGCCTTCGTGAAACACCCTGGAAAAGAATTTTTATACAAACCTGTTAGTCGTATAATGTCTCTGGAAATTTTTAATAAGCATTTTGAATACACCATCCGCATCAGGTGGATTACTGCAAGCGTCGCCCATAGAGCATCTTCCACCATTAAGATCTTGCCACATTACCATTGGGACTTCCCAGACACCAGGATATGATCTCGTAGGACATGGAGGAATCATACAATCATGGAAAAGTTTGTAGTCCAAAGTATAAGGCCAGCTTGGCGGTTTGTTTTCGTAGATGGGCATTGATGAGTCGTAGGTGAAGTTTGAGTCGTACAACATTTTGAACATTTTGTTTCCACCGACCTAAAAGTTATGTCATAGTTACAATTAAAATAACTCATTCAAAGAATACTTACGGATAAGAAAGGAGCCCTCATTCCTCTAACATCTTCTAGTTTAACCCCTCCATAGGCAGACAAGATTTCTCTTTGTCCAGCAACTTCACGTGTCCATTTCTTTTGTGAAAATTGCTCCCCAAAACTGTGCCTATTTTTGGTAATTTTCGTTTAATATTTATGTGATCATTACTTGCAAACGATAAGTGTCCCATACGATTAATTAATTACAACTAGAGTACGTATAGAACACCACCGTTTTGTTTATTTACGTAATATAAAAGCAAAAGCGAACAAGAAGAAATATCTTTTAATTGAAAATACAAAGCAGTTAGTGGTTGAAGCAAGTGTTGATTTTTCTACGTCAAATTATTTTGAGTGCAACTGATGATACTGTTGTGTGTGGTGCAAAGGCATTTTTTTTTTCACTTACGACACTGTATGGGATGCAAGCTCATGGCCATCAGAGTACAGATTCTGTACTTGACTATAGTCTGTCCACTCATGGGACACATAGAAGGTTGCTGCGATTGGGCACCCATTCGGGTTGGTCCTGCCTCTTTCAAAGAGATCTTGGTATAAACCTTTGTTCAAGTCGTTAACAGAATCATCGAAAGTAAGGATAACCATTTGTGGTACTTGCTCAACTGGGATATCTCCTATTGTTAGTAGGCGCAGAAAAAGAAAGATATATAAAAAAATTATTAAAAAAAATCAAATTATAGTGACCACTTATTCCAGTGAGATGATCATGTAGATGCATATATGCAGTCGAGTATTAACATCAAAAAATCAATATAAGAAGTGGTAACTATAACATACAAGGCCACAAAGAAAAAAGAAAAGGTTCAGTAAAACAGTAAGAGAAAAAAAAAAAAAAGAAAGTTTTTCGCATTCCAGCCCCATAATGGCCAAATGAGGGCCACTTACGACACTGTGTGTGAGGCTAGTTCATGGCCGTCTGCGTATAAATTCTGAACCTGGCTGTAGTCTGTCCATTCGTGTGATACGTAAAATGATGCTGATATCGGGCAGCCATTGGGATTTTTCCGCCCATTTTCAAATAGATCAACATAATACATTTTATTTAAATCATTAACTGCATCGTCAAAGGTCATTAAGACAATTTGAGGTGTCTCCTCCACAGGAATATCTCCTATTCAATAAAAAATATCTTAGAATGGATAGGTACAATTTTGATAGGTTCCTAGACCTGAAAAGTGACCACTGCTACTTTTTTTAAATTTCACTTACCGGGAATATCTTTTCCTCCACAGGAGCAATCTGGAAGTAAGCAGACGTCTTTTCTGCATTTGGCAGCTGTTTTGTCAGGTTGTGGTTGCGGGTAAATAGGATCTGGTCTGCGAGGTGGATTTTTGTAGATATCAATAAATTCTGTGGCTTTGGAGACGATCGAGGTGGATGGTTTTAGTGTTGGGCGAGATCGGCTTTAATTTATAAACATAATTCAAAATCATGTAAACTCTTGCTTCACAATTAAACAGAGCGTCTTTAAAACATCTCAACGTTTATTGGAATTATTTACATAATCCTTCACCTATAGTTAATAATGAAATTCGTCAATATCGAGCATTTATTGACTATGCTTAAAATTAGAATTCTTGATAATCCATGAAGCATAATATGTTAATAATGTAGTATGCAAACAAAACTGCATAACAGGTTGCATTGACATGCAGCAAATCGTGTTGACAAGAAACAATAAAATGTTGGTGTAAAATGTCTTTGTGTTCTCTGTTTAATCGCGTTTGGTTTGCCATATTGGTTGCCTGTTCATATTTGCAAAACTACCTATAAACATTTGGATATTCATTTAACGATTGCAGATTTGTTCGAGTAAATTTTTAGAAAAACTTCGCCTGTATACCAAGCTGCTGCAAAATTATTTTGATTGGAACCAAGTTTGAATTAAGTTGTAAGATGTCAACGAAATTTTTATATCAGCCTGAAGTCTGTTATATATATATATATATATATATATATATATATATATATATATATATATATATATAACAGACTTCAGGCTGATATAAAAATTTCGTTGACATCTTACAACTTAATTCAAACTTGGTTCCAATCAAAATAATTTTGCAGCAGCTTGGTATACATATATATATATATATATATATATATATATATATATATATATATATATTAATAAAATGTGTAGGCCAGACTAGCGTCTTGCATTTTACATAACACCTGGAAAAGCACTCACTCACATTTTTCTGTTATTCACTTCATAAACAGTGTAATCCACCATAAATTTTAACTTTGCCTAAGGTAAGTAGACCACCTTCGGCATGCCGTTAGGTTTTGCTACCAGCAATTTCGCGGTTAGAGGTTTAGTGTAATCCAAGTCAGCATTGATTTGCGATGCTTGGTTTTACTGAAATTGCCAGATAGCATGGAGCTGAGACCACGAGATTAGTGTCGTACTCGCCTCGAGCTTCAAACAAAACCGGAAGTGAGACTTAGAAATCTCATCATAATATTCTTGAAAAAATACATATCTTTGGTTAGTTAACAATATGCCAGTTATTGGTAAGAGTTGAGTGATGTCCTTAATTGGAAATTCACTGGTCTCTCAAACAAAAACGGTTAAATATATATTTATTCAATTATCTACAGCCGATAGACCATAGAGCACATATCGATCAAAAAATTACATAATTATTTTAAACAGTCTTTTTATAGATCGATGAATTTTTAATTAGAGAGAATTACTTTATTGGCTGACTGTACCTACTAATGACATCTTGACACAGATAAACACCGCATCTCATTCAAAAACTGATGTTTGTTGTGATGACAAGACCAGGAGAGGTGAGCTGCTCGAGAAGGGTCATAGTAAGGATGCATCAGTGGTGTAAACAAGACCCGTTTTGCCCTCTGAACCCGTCATCCACTTGACCAAAATATTGAAGAAATTCGCATGGGAGCAACTCGTTTATCTATCTATCTGCCTCTAACTCATATGATATAAGTTCGGTGGGCGCGTTGACATGCCAATCGATTGCAGCGTGTGTTCCGCCAGTTTCACAAAACCGGCGTTGATAGTAGTCGTTTTTAGTCTTGAAGCTCCATTTTGCAGAGCAAAGTCATAACAGAATAAAATATCAATCCGTAACAATTTGGCAACCAAATTGGAGGGGATACACCGGCGGTGGATTGCCCTTCAATTTTTTTCTAAAATGTAATGTCTATCTGTGTTAATATGTCATTGGTAAGCGCCTTACTAAATTTACCTAAAATATTAACATATTGAATATTTAACATGGATTTGAGAACATAAATGAACAGTAAACGACTGTTATTTAGCTTAACTAGGCAGAGGCCGGAAGATGAAAGCCAGCAATGGATTAGTCGTTTACCTCTCAGTATAAACTATAGTGTAGAACATACACATAATAGTTGTTCGGATTACGAAGTGCTGTATATACTAGAGTATTGATACATGATACGGGCAAAGTAAAATTTGTCGGAGGGTCCGATGAAATACTGTTGGAAAGAATATCTAACTTGTCGGGCATGGATCTGCTTATTCCAGAGCTAACTTCCACTATCGCTAAAATCTGTTCTTCATCGGCAGGTGTCATTTGGCTTGCAGGTCCCCGATTAACATTTTGCACATTTACACTTCCCGTATCGCGCAATCTTTGCAAAAAGGACACAATGGTCTTTCATCTTTCATTAGGTGCCGTCCTATTAAGAAATCTTTCCCTGTAAATTCTGGCGGGTGAATGAGCATTTTGTAACGATTCTTTGTAAATGAGTAACATATCTGCATATTCGACGTTTATATAAAAAAAAAATCGAAAAAGAATGAACTAGGCGCATTTCCAATAGTTCAGTAGAAGGGTTCGAAATTTTGTGTTATTCTTTTATTTAAAATGAAATCGAGAGATTTTGTTATTAAAAAACGATCAAAAAAAAATTGAGCGCATAATATTAATATTAGCGTTTGTTGCGAGCAGTTAAAAATCAACGATCGGCGTCGGGATAAAAAACGTACCTGTACGCGAGACTAGGCTGCGTGACGTCAGTAGCCAGATACGCCACGTGAATTCTTATACTCTCCGTATAGGCCTTTACGGAAACGCTGATCCGATCAACCCAATCACCAGCTGATGTAATTTGTCTTTTTTCAATCGTGTCCATTGAAGAAAGATGAAAAACAAAGAGCTTGTGATCGGATCAGCGTTTCTGTAAAGGCCTATACGGAAAGTATACGAATTCACATGGCGTGTCTGGCTTCTGTCGTCACGTGGCCTAGTTTCGCTTACAGGTACGTTTTTATCCTGCGCCCATCGTTGATTTTAAACTGCTCGCAACAAACGCAAATATTAATATTTTGCGATCAAATTTTTTAAATCGTTTTTTAATTTTTAACAAAATATCTGCATTTCAGTTAAAACAGAAAAATGTCGAACCTGCCTATTACATGAGAAATCAAGAAACAATTATTGTTATCGGTTTAACCACCTATTATTTTCTGTGTTATGTTGCCAGATGTTAAGAAACCGAATTAGGAGTGACATTGGCATATTATTTTTTCAAATTTTTATTATTGTTTTTGACTTAAAATGCATAATTTCTTAATAAATGTATGAAATTAATTTTTTTACATCTCATAATAATCCTTCGCATGGGCATACTCCCTTCTTTCGCTGTGGCTACTATAACCAGACGGTGTCACCTTCGTTGACGCTCTCCAATAGCTGCCGTTTGTCGAGTCTCATCTTCACTCTGTTACTATGTCGACGTACTCTATTTCAGGCAAAATCGTGAACCCCTCTGAGTTGGTCTTGGAGAACAATTATATAACTGGAAGTCCAGCTTCGTCTTCATCGGCCAAACATTGGATCAACGAAAAGTCTAGTTTCTCTTTTAGTCCACAGCATTAGCATTGATGGCGTATAAATCGTGGATTCGTGCTTCTCTAAGCCAAAAGGAAAGGAGGCACCAGTTCCTCCCATTATTGCTGGTGTTCATCCACAATCGAGAGGTATTGGTTGAAGGCTTGATGGTGCATCTCGACCATTCTGTTGGACTGTGGATGAAGTGGAGTCAGTCTTATTTTCCTTATTTTCTATTCCCAGTTACCCTAGCAGATGTTTCCATACTTTGGACTCAAAACTTATTCCCTGACCGGTATGAAGTTCCAGGCAGCCCATTTTTGGTTCCTATGATGTTTTTCAGTATTGCTTCAGCAACTGTGGAGGCTTCTTGATTGGGGATTGAAAATACTTCTTGCAACCATGGAAAATAGTTAATAGCACCCATGAGATAGTTGGCATGCTTGTTCGTTTATATGTATCGTTCTGCCACTAAGGCAATTTGCCAGCACAAATGGACCTACACTTTACAGTGGAATCCGATCCACTTTTTATAAAAGGCATTTATTTTAATAAGGCAACCATCACGACCAAAATATGCAACTTCTCGGGACTCGAACCCGGGACTATCAGCATGCGAAGCGGATACCCTATGCACAACACCACCTGGTTGGCATGAGATACTTATTTCCCCTTTATTTCTCCTAGAAATTGCAATTTCGGTCCATTCTTGAAAACACCGATGTGTCATCTCCAGCGCCATTCTTCAACATCTCTACGACAGTTGATCCGATTTGATATTCTTGGATATAATTTCAGGTGCCTGGGCATTACCCAAAATGTTCAATTTAATCTAAACTCGTGTTGGCGTGTTGTTTAAATATTAAATACTTGTATACAGGGTGGAATTTTTAAATGAAATAAATTCAGTATCAGAAAGCCTGTTTATTTTCTGGAAAAATAAAAAAAACGGGTCCCTTTATTTTTAGTTTGGCACATTTTTTCGGCCTTTTCATGAAATTTACCCCTCTCTTAAGGGTAGAACCCACCCCCAACTTTTTTTTTCAAATGTAAAGATATGTATAGTGATAGCTCGTTGGAATGGACATAAAAAAAGGAAAACGACCGATTATTTACTTTTGCATTTTGGTGACCTAGGAAGCGAGAAAAAAATTAAAACATATTTTTCCACACAATTTTTTTACAGTTAAAATTGTTGAATATCTTCAGCATTTCTTCTTGGTAGAACCCTAATGCGAAACAAGCCCCATTTGTAACGTTATGCAATTATTTCTGATGTTAACACACTATTTGATGCCTGATACTCGGATTCTCAACCCTAAAATAGTGCGTTAATGTCAAAAATAATTACATAACTAGATCACCGAAATGCAAAAGTAAATAATGGGTCATATTCCTTTTTTTATGCCCATTCCAACGAGCTATCACAATACATATCTTTACATTTGAAAAAAAAAGTTGGGGGTGGTTTCTACCCCTAAGAGAGGGGTAAATTCCATGAAAAGGCCGAAAAAATTTGCCAAACTAAAAATAAAGAGACCCGTTTTTTTTTTTTTTTTTTCCAGAAAATAAACAGGCTTTCTGATACTAATTTTATTCCACTTAAAAATTCCACCCCATATATGATAAAGAGCGCATATTACCCAAATTGAAGCATTGTATTAACTTGGTGTTGCTTTTCGATAGAAATTCTTCGTGGTGGTTGGACTGGTTGGCAAATAGGTGTGGTACTTTCTGTGCTAATGCGATGTTCCACTAAAATGAGTTCGCGCCCAGTGATTTTTTCTTGTACAAAGGCATCAGCCCCTTTTTTCCATAAATCTATGGCTATCTGACATAAATGATTCCAATTATATGTGAGATTCTCAATTAGTTCTAGATGTAAGTGTGCTCTGTAGCAAGTAGCTCTGATAGAGATCTACTGATAACCTGCGCTTTCGTCAATGTCACCCGGTTTGTCGTTATATTGACTGCCACACTAGAAAAACTTTGATGCAGTTAGCTTGACAGTACACCCCAAGGCCTTTATTCTACCTATTTTCTGTTGGTTCGGCTACCATGGTGTTCGCGTCTTCTAACTGTGCTTCTAGGTGTGCCTTCATGACTATGTCCAACTATTTCCAGCAATTCTCACGAATAGAAAATCGAAGTTTTTTAAGACAGCCACACCCAATTTTAACTCATCCACTATGTCAGTTCAGTCACTATCATTTCTATTTTCAGATATCCTATTTGAACTGTCTCGGTGGTTTTTTCAAAAACGTTTATTGTCGTCAGCTATTTCTAGTAGCGGTTTATTTGTCAACACCGTCACAGAGTCCTTATAATCCTTGTCGGGGCCACCCTGCCTGTGTACAGCTTCTCTCTAGACTTTGGTATACTGAATCCTGACTGTTGGTGAACAGAAGAGGAAGAGCCTTATCACCACTCAGGACTTGAAAAGTCACGGCACCGCCAATGAGGCGTAAAGTAGGTTTAAGGGAAGCACTGATCTTGACTCCTTGCCGTTGAGAGTGCATTATCGGTGAAAAGAGGCTCTCTTAACTTCTTTTGATAAAGAAGAGCTTTAGTTTGGGGCTTGAGAGTTAGTGGAGCCAGCGATCGCACCTTACAATGACAAGGTAGCAAACTTCTTGTCCAATGTTCTGGATAAACCGACGATACCTTCAATACATTTCTGTCTTTTTTTCTGTTCTTCCTGTTTGCTTTTCAATGACCTGTTTCTTCTTGTTTTTTATGTTTGTCTGTTTTCTTCTTCCTGTTTTTGTTTCCTTCGTTCGTCTTCTTTATAAAATTTTTGGGATCTGGTGCTGTTCTTCTCGTTTTTCTTTTAATCTTTTTTCGTCTGATAGTTCCGGAGCTAGTTCCATTGAATGACCAATATTACAAAAGTCACGATAAAATTAGCACCACTGCAACCTGCAACACTCAAATCTGCTTAAATTGAACTTAATCACTTCGCAAAACTCTAACTGATACCTTTACCGTGTAATTCAAAAATTCCCCTTGACTGCAGTATCGACGTCGCGAGTTTATATAGGTACTGTTTCAAGCCTTCTGTAATTGCCTTGGTAATTCTCTACCAAAAATCTCTGGTAACGCCGCTAGGTAGGTAATTCCTAAATGCTTCTGTTATTTTATACCATAGAATGAAATGGTTCTGTAAGCCCGTGCCTTTGAGTTTAGGCGAACTTTTTGTGTCAGACCAAACGCTTAGATTTAGCTCTTTGAATACAAGTTGTGAAATATAGGAAAATACTCACAATTAAAAAAAAATACAGAACTAAAAATTAAATTTATAGAGCATTGGCCTATCCGGGTAAACAAGAGTATTAGCCATACACTAACGAAAACATTATCAATCTACAAAAAAAGTGAAGATTCAAATTGAAATTTTTTTTAAAAACGTAGTTGAAAAGCGTTGTTAAGGAAATCATTTTTGCAAATATGACAGTTGCAAATTTATTAACTTACGGAGCTGGAGTACCCCTATTAACGGTAACTTCATTACTAGCAATAGAAGCGGAGTTTGTGTAATGCGATGTACCTCGTCCTCTTGAAGATGTTCTAAAATTAAGTAAATGCTAGTTTAATAATAATTTTCTGTACAACGTTAAGACACGCTTCGTTTTACATAACATGCTGAGAAACAATCTTAGCTCCCAATAATTCTACTCTAGTACCTACTAGTTTTTTTCCTATCTAATTTTAGTTTGCTAAAGCTTTTGTATAGTTACATTTTATGACATAGGTAGTGTTTACTATCACAGAAAATTTAATTTATATTTTTTTTTAGATTTAGCAAGAATAAATGTTTCGCATTTTAAATAACATACTTCTGGTAGAAATGGATGAGCTACTGATTGATATTGGTCACAAAATTATGGCCATTATAATATATATATATATTTAAGGAACCGCATTTGGAATTCCCGACAGCTGATATCTTTTCGCTCTTGCCAACCAGTAAACTCATCTGCCTTCGAAAAATGGTTCACTTCAAGAAAAAAAAAATATATTTCAATTACTCTGTAATAATAAACAGACTTGCCTTTTATCAGGTGTGTTGCTCCAAATGCTTTAAATGATTGGTGTAACTAGGTGTTAATTGGGAATGTGTTACATTGTCGGGAAGGGAATAGGCCCAGAGTCAACTTCCAGTCTCACTATTTTAGTTAAAATATCTTGACTAGTACCTACTCACTGAAAGCGTGTAGATAGTAAATTGTTAAGGAAAGGTGCAAATGTCAGAAAATTCGGTGCGGTTCCATGCAAATTAATTTGCTGAATGAGGACCAATGAGAAATACCTCTGTTTGGCTTCGACCTTGCATTTCGGACTTTTGTCGCTACATTTCGTTGGTCCTTTAGTCCCAGCTATTAAGGATTTAATGGCAGCATTTACCCGGGATACTCTAATGGGATAGGAAATATTTGCAGGAGAATCTGTCTTAATTTCTATTAGAGGAGCAATTATTGGTTTGGGCTTGTAGGACGGTGGTTGGTCTGGCTCTGGTTTTTGAGTGTCTGAATCGTCTTGTAATGATGGAATTTTCATAGTTATTCCATATGGCTTTTTACTATCATCATCAGATTCTGCGTAATGTCTCAATTTCTCTTTTGATAATAATGCATAGAGACGATTTTTCTGATTATCTTCGTTTTTTTTCTGTGTGACTGGTTGTCTATAGGTCTTTGTATATTTAGTTGTTGAAGTGCGTATGGTAGGAGTAAGTGTTGTAGCTGTAGAGGTAGCTACAGGAGTTGTACTAGCTATACCCGAGTTAGTATGGTTAGAAGACAATTGTACACCCAAAAACTGAATTTCATTATTTTTATCGTTGAGATAATATGATAAATCCACAGACTTTTCAAATTCGACGCTATCAGCAATATCTTCGGCAGATTCAAACGTTGCGCCTGTACTTGTGGATAATTCATAATTTACTGTTATTGGGTTAATTAATTTTCTGACAGCTTTTAAAGTTTTGTACTGATAGCTTTGCTTATCTCGTGGACTGTTATTGGAAATTCTGCTTTGATTTTTGGGTCTGAAACTAAATACAGGGGTCTGAGGTAGTATCGACTTAAGAAAGTATTTCGGTGGAGAATATGTTGTAGGAACAATTACTTTCAGCGTTACAGATTGCTGTACATCTACGTCATCAGAGTTGATCTGACTAGCAATATTATCATTTTCACTTGTATCAGTTCTAGAAGAGATCTGGTGAGTTGACTTCGGTTCTTTAGTAATAAAGTGAAAAGCAGGCTTGACTGTAGTTAAATGGGGGTTAGGTATGAATGGAGTAGGTTTTTTAATTACAGCATATGGCTCATGCAACGTAAAGTCAGGAGTTGTGTCTGGGACAACCGGTCGTAAATTTTTAGTCAATGATTCGGGATTATATATGGATTCAGGAATATCTACAATGTGTCCCGGGTTTGTATTATTTGACAGTGCTTGTGTTTGGTTTTCAATCGCTGTGACAGACGCTTGGCTAGAATAAACGACAAAGACTTTAAAATTCCCCACATATTTTTCTATTTAGACAGATAGAAACTGAAATGTTCACAAAACATTTCAACTAATATCTGTTTGATCCTTGCTATTTAAAAACGAAATTATTTTTTGGTCAAAATATCTCTTTATTGGCTTTAGTAATAGTAAACAACGTCAGGAATTTGAATTAGCCGAGATTTCAGAGTCTATTATAGGTCTGTTGTAATATACAATTAATTTGCTGAATCTCAGATGAAGTGGAACCCTAACCTATAATTTCTCTACCTCGATTGCTCTATAACAGCATACCAGCAGACATATCGTGACCTCGACTCATTTCACCTTTCATCTGTGAGTGTGAGACAATCCAGCAAAGATAAGTTTATGGCAATCTTTAGAAATTCCGTCGGACTTGCCACTTTTTAATTGACATTTGGTTAAAGTCCTAATTTTATGTAACAATGTGCGAAACATCGAAATTCGTGTTAACTCAGAATAATTAACTTAACAAAAAGACCGTCAAAATCGTGTATTAAAGGTTCAGGATAATCAATAATGCAGCAGATATGTGCATTTTGCATTTCTGAATGATTTTATTGCATTCGACTCAACGAACACTTTTAAATGACGGCCTTTTTTGTTATCTTTTATCTTACATCAGCATTACGTTTGATACCTATAAAATCAATAAGAAACTGGAAAAAAAAAATTGATAAAATAAATACATTAGTATTAGGTTCTCTTCCCATTACATATTTTCAGTCGACTTTATTTTCGAAGTTGTAGAGCTGTGAACCCCGGTTGTTTTTTTTTTTATTTTTAATTTAAGTTCAATAATCAAAGCTTGGTAAAAAGTGGTAAAAAATTATCACCCCCATGATAATTAAAAAAACTAGGTGCCTATAATTTTTTTACTTGCCTAGTTAAGAATCGATTGTACATATAACATAACATGAATCTGGCGTCAGCAACCCTGACTCTACGCTCAATTCAATAAAATCTCACAGAATCTTTTATTTATTCAAAATAATTTCGTTCATTCTTTAGTCTATTATTAGTAATAAGTTTTGTGAAAAAAAAAGCAAGAGTGCCTAATGATGATAGGGATTAAGTGGGCTAGCAAGTTGATTAAATAACTAAAGAGTGAAACGGAAAAATAAAAGATACTACAAAAAAAATGAGAAAATGTAAGCATTTCCTTAGTCAGGTGATATAATAAGCTCAAATAAGCAAGCTTGTAGCCTTTAAAGTATCATGAACATTTTGTAGTACCTTGAAGGGGTAGTGGTAGTTATCTTTTTGGAAGGAAGGATTCGTGCTTGCGTCGTGGTTGTAATTCTGGGAGTGGTGGTGGTTGTGGTAAGTTTTCTGATGGTAGAAGTTGAAGCAGTTCTTTTAGTAGAAGGAACCTCTTCTATATCGTTTATCTCATTTCTGTCTCCCCTAAGACTAAAGCTTAACTTTACATATATTTTTCTAAACAATAATTTATATAGATACTTACCTAGAAGGTGATCTACTAGATTGTTTGTATCCTGTATCTTCCTCCTAAAATTATCAATTTTATTTTGTATTTTTTATTTAAAAAAAATAAAGTGCCGTCAGTAATGCACAAGCTTGGTTACCTGATACGAATTGTCACTATAATCACTGACAGTAGAAGGCTGTTGGTAAATATCTTGATTAACGTTATTATATACAACATTGCCACGTTTTGTCGACTCTTCGCGTGCTGGTGATCCACGATAGACACTAGGTGTGGTGCCTCTAGTGCTGGGCGAGTTCGTGTTGTAATTATTATTGTTTTGTGGTGTATAATCTGAAATATTTTTCACCTTAATTACCCAAAATGGAATGTATGGCATTTTAAGAATTTCGACAATTACAAGAGCATAAAAAAATTCATTCTTTATTTATTCCCGTTACCTAATTATTGTGATATTCTGAAACGGTAACTTAAGTATGTTTTTTTTTTAATGAAGCGCTTTTAATTTAAGTACATACAGACGATATATTGATGCATGCAGTTTTGCAACGACAAATAAAGTAATAATTATATTTCTTACCAACGTCCTTGTACAACTCAACATCTTCATCATACAATGGATAAAAGGGATCATACCGATTGTCATTTTGGTTTATGTTGTTGTATTGGCTGCTGTTGTACAATGTTCTCGCTGTCGCAGTGGCAGTTGGAACGGCGGGCGGCTGTGACACCGTACTTTTCTCTTCGCTAAAGTATAAATAATTCAAATAAAAATGATTGCAATTATATTTTAAATTATGACATGAGTACCTAATGTCGTACAAATGTCACTATTATTCGTTAATAATCGCTTCCTCGCATTACAATACAATATACTTTCTAGCATTAATTATAGTAGGTACAATCTAAGGTAGGTACCTAATACTATATCATGGAGAAGCAACTTTTAAAAGCCTTAAATTATAAACTTTTTTTATATGATGTATGTGCTATATGCACACATGTTATTCCTGTCACCCGCCGCACGGTTGTTATAAACACTTACCTAACAATTTTCCACGATTAGAAATAAATGTAAAAGTACCTATGTTTTTGCGAAAACTAAATAAAAACTTTATAAGTAAAGTCACTACAAGATTATTCTATATGCATATGTATGTAATTAGTGAAGGAATATAAGCTTAATGTCGTTTCACCTTCGTGCCTTTCAAAACTTGACCGCACACTTATGGTTCCTGCTTCAAAAATATCGATTTTCAATGGATAAAAACAAATAGGCATATCTAAAACTGTTTTACTATTTATAACAAAAACTTAACTAATAGACAGTGCTTAAAAACGGCGATATATATTGTTTGAATCCAATAGATTATCATCTTTTGCGATTTTCAAACAAAAAAATCAGCTTTCACTAACCAGTAGTAGGTACCTAACTAATAATACTTGGAATGAGACAACTTTTTATCCTATTACTGATAAAACGTTTGATCATTACAAAATAGTCTGGGTACCGATTTGACCGCAATTTATAAGTAGGTAATAATATGTGTTCAATTGACTGTTATAAACCGATCGAACATGCGTGTGAAATAAATTGAAAGCTAGTTCCAAAATATGAAAGTCCTTTCTATACTGTGTGTCCAGTGGGTTCGCGTAATTCCTCAATATTTCCTTAGGTGCTACAAAAGTAAAATACAGAAATTGCTTGGTTCTTAGAAACCTTCATTTCAAAAATATTTTGGTTTGTACAGGAAGCTACAAAAAAGCAGGAAAAGGGTCAACTAAATATCTTTAAATGTGGCATTCTATGTGGAAAAAATTGTGCACACTTGTTATGTAATAAAAAAAAATAGATACCTAAATAAAGTGAAATTGAAGTGGGCGCTAATTTTGTTATGAAATTTTGTTAAGACATTTTTGATACCAATTATATTAGGTATGAAACAAAAAAAAATGTCTACTGACTAACTCTCAGTGGAGAGTGGTGTGGGTAATCAAATAAAAAGCGCCACCTGTTTCAATGCCCTTCAGTTAAACGAAGTCCCGATATTCCAAAACAAAACAGGAAAACTCAACAGCTAAACGGTACTGCACCTGTCAAACTAAAATTGCCTAAAAGGGTACAATGAAACGCTTCAATTCAGATCAATAAATGTAATCAATCTGCCCTGAATATTACCTTTAACATCAAACTGAAAATTGAAAACATAAATGGTCACCGGCAAAAATCAGCTGGTAGACATCAAAATAATAATAATAATAACTGATAACGTATACTAAAAATAGACGGTACTCACTTTAAATAAATACACAATCGTCGAAACAAATAATTATCCCCTAAATTTCTAACAATTCACCTCAAAATACCTAAAATACCATTGTAAATAGATCTATTTATACCTGGTGTACCTACAGTGAGCAGTGGAGATAGTTAAATGTGTGATGATTTGAGTGTAATTATTGTCTAAGCGATTGACATATACTTAAAGGTAAGAATCTAATTAAAATCACAGTTTTTAAAATCATAAGCCTGAAGGATTAAAAAAATAATAATAAAAAGAATCTTTTAGCAAAGTGGTACTAAAGGTCCGCTGGTTTTATAATCCAGAAATACCCCAAAGCTGTTGGTAATTAAATGAGGCTCCAGCTCTCAATGAGATGGATAATCTCTATCAGATGATCAATTTAGAGGCTTGAATGGTTCCCAAAGACAGCACAACAATACTCAAACCTTATTATTAGGTACTGGGTGGGTCTAGTAGGTTCTTAGAAGAGTGAGAGGACAACCAAGTCCTCAAAGTTCTTCGGGCGATTCACCAGGTCCAGGAGTGCGTTCAAAGACGGCAATGCTAATGCCAAAACCTACTATTCCCCTTCTACCGGCGATGCCAAATCTGGTGTGAATTTACTGGAACGCCAAATACCGTTTCTCAATATGCAATCTAAACCACGTGACATTCAATATGGCGTGGCGACCATACATGGACCAAAAAACACAAAAAATATCTAGTTTCTGCCCGACTTAATAGTTAACGTACTTAGTTAACAAATATTTTATTGAATAATCAAAATCGAAGCTGCAAACAAACAAAATAATTGAAATATGCATGAAAACCCATATTCAAAACTAACTTGCCTGGCCGCCACGACATATTGAATTTGGTCTCATCCAATCAAAATTCGTATAACCATTTCTAGACTCAGTTGAAAGAGCCTCCAAAAGTTACTTTACCGCGGCCGATTTGGAACGTGTAAACCGTTTTTGGCACGCTGGAGCCGAACTTGAACGCAATATGCCAATTTTGGCTCGGCTTTAGCCGTTTTTGAACGCAGCCCTGGACTACTTGTTGGAAAAATAACCATGCAATCTCTAAGTAAATTCAAGGCCTCTGTAAATGCTTAGCTTCAAGATAGGGTTGGATGTCACTTGCTTGGTAGGGTTTAGATACAAACAAAAAGGGGGACCATAAAGTATTAAAAAAAAGACCAATGGAAATTGGACTTTCTTCCATAAACTCGAATACGTGGAACCAAAGTTTTAGGTTTTTCAGCCGTAATTCGCCACTAGATCAGCAAAATAGTGCTTCGGTGCTATAACAGAGCTGATAGCCACCTTTTAACGAATTATTTGGGCAAACCTTTCGAAAATCGGCAATAAAAAAAGCCACGAGAAAAGCAAAGCTGCTTCTTCTCTTACGAAAAATGTGGTTCTGTCACGAAAAATCTGTTTTTTTGGTATCTTCGCGCGGGAATTTTGGTCCTGGCGAAAAAGTTAGGGACTTTTCGATTTGAGGGTTTATAGCTTCAAATTTTCGAGCCAAAAATCAATGCGACATCTATGAAACCAAAAAGGAAACGAGTTAGGAATTATTGTTGAATAAATCTTTCTTGACAATTTGACGTTCTTGATAATTTTCAATAATTTAAATTCATTATTTTCAGATAAATGAATTGAAATGACTGAAAGTGGAGATATAATTGTTTTAATTAATGAAGCACTTAACAAGGTGAGTATTTATTTAAAATTCAAAACAAAGGTACTTAACGGTTAATTTCATTTCAGGAGGGTTCGAGGTCCATGAGAGAAGATGTTCGAAGGTTCTTTAGTTTTTTAATTATTTTGTAACGACCTATCGTGACCCGCAACACACTCTGGCAACACCATACGGAATTGCCTAGGGATGACCTCCAAATTACGAAGTCGCAATTCCCTAAGGCTTGAAATAACGAAGATAGTCACAAAACCTGATTTCGATTCTATCCTACTAGTTGATCTACCCCCGCATTCCTCATGTCTACCAGAAGTCTCGAAAAATAAGTTTATCCAATCGATGGAATAATCTAGCAAGTTATGGAATAAACGAGAATTGATGTATATCGGAAATTCCTAGGAGGAAATTATCTAGGAAATTACGTCACGAGAATCAAAGTATGTAATATAAAAGGAGTCGGCGAAGCCAGGGCAACGTAACAAAACTTTTGCAGAATGTCGCAACTAACTGCAAAAATTAAAACTCAGGAAATTCAATTTTAAATTTCAACTACCACCCTGTGGAAGGAATTTTCATAATTACAGTAGGTGCGTACCTACTGCTAATTGTATAATATTTCATACGTGGCCCGGGTTCCTGCAGAGAAGGATAATCTCCCCATAAACTCTCCGGAGGAACCGTTTAATGTGAGAAGAGAGGGAGTCGATAAAGAAATCGTTGTATGTAGAAACGCACTAATCCTGCTTTTGTGAGCAACCCTATCGTCGCAAACCAAAATATTTTGAAAATTTAGATTTTTAAATACCCAGCATATTTTGTTTTAACACTTGGGAAATATTGAGGAATTCAGCACTAATTTGATTGCGCCCAATGACATAGTGATAAATTAATAAAGTCGCCACGTGGCACTTCAATAATACAGTAGAGTGTTGGGTCAAAATAGAAGAAACCTACAGTGGCAGGAATGTTTGAAAGCTTACACAAATACATAAACAAAAGACACGCATGCATGTGTTCAGATTTAAAAAATAAAATAAAAACTATTACCTTCTTATTGCATTTGATTGTGCATGTCTAGAGTCGGGTTCGTTCAATTTAGTAGTATGTTCTTGTTTTTGTTTCTGTTTCTGGATAGGTCGTACTGTAGTTCTTTTTTTGGCTGGCGGTGTAATTATTTTTGGTGTCGTTGTTAGAGCCGAAGTTTCAATTAAAAATTGTCCAGTGCCTGATAAATGATTATACTTTTCTCTGCTACTATTTTCAGGACTAATTATAGGTTTCATCGTTACCGGTCGTATCTTGGATTTTGCTGTTGTGGATGGTATCGCTGTCTCAATCAAGTACTGGCCATTTTTTTGCACAGCAGTATTAGAGTTTTTTCCCTGCAAGTCACCATTTTTTGGTTTTTCTTGATACTTAGCTGAGTACTTTACAGTTTCCAATTGAGGAGACCTGAGCGGTTCGTTATTTTTTTTATCCAATTCTGGATAATCATATTCTTCATAGTAGTATTCATATTCATCGGAAGAGACAGGAGTTTTAGGAGCTTCGCCAGTTTTAATTTTACTCGAATATATTTTTCTACTTTGTGAGTCGTCATCATCATCATAGTAGTCTTCACCTAAGTTTTCTTTCACTGGCTTAAAATGCATATTTGGCATAGGAGTAACTTGATAATTACCAAAATTAATAATTTTTGGTTTAGGCTTATGCTTGTTTACTTCAATGGGTCGGGATTCTTGCCTTAACGGAGAATTTTTTTTTCTAGGGTTAGGCCTATTTGTTGTAGTGGTTGTTGTGGTGGTAGTGGTAGTAGTGGTTGATGTGGTAGAACCAAGTTTTTCCAAAAATTCATCAAAGTCAAATTGAGGATCTTCAAAAGGATTGTATATATCTTCATATTTATTTTTGTCGTTGTAGAAAGAAGTCGGAGGCGCTAAGTCTTCATCTATTTCATCTGAGTAATATTCATAGCTTGTTGTGGTATTTTTAGGCTTGCCTTCCACGTCAGCTTCTGTTTCTTTATTTTCGGACTCCCCATCAGCATCTTTGTCTTTTTCGATATTTGATTCTTTATTGGTTTCATTGGAAGCCTGTGTAGAGTAGATTTCATCCTCATTATTATCTTTATCATCATGATATTTTTCATCTTTTTGTACATAACCTCTGGTAACAGCTTCAGTATGGCTTCTAACATTGTCTTTAGCTTTCACGCCCATGGGACTTACAGTTTGGATAACAACATTTGAATAAGCAGAATCAAGAGACTTTACAGGCATATTGTTATAATTATATTCAACCGTGTGTCTGATTGGAACGCGCTGGCCAATTTTAATGTAGTCATAATTATTATGAGAAGTAGTTAAAGTTATTGGCCGTGAAAAGGAGTTTGGAGTATTGGAGTATTGGAAACTTCTTGGCGGTGGATAACGTACACCCACCTGGTTTGAAGGTAAAGCATAATTGGGAATAAATGGCTGAAATTCTTCCTGGTTTTTGGAAGTAACCGTTATATGTTTTAGTCTAGGATTGTCAACAAAGGGTCGGTTGTGGTGTGTCAACCTCTTTCTTTGGCCACTATGCCAAGAAGTTGCCTCATTAAAAGGTTCTCTACTAGAAATTATTCTTAATTATTATTAGTATAATATCTCTGGGGAAACTGCATTAGTTACCTTCTCTGTGCATTTCTTTTACGTCGTTTCTTCCTTGTCAAGTCATTAGTCAATATTTCGTTCATGTCTTGCGCAGTACTGTTGATCAAGTGATTTTAGGTCAGTTTTCAAATTTTTTAGTCAAACTTACCTGTAATGCTGGAGTTGAGATTGCGTTCCAAATGAAATTACCCCAATTTTTTCTCCACGGTCTTTGTAGGTCTGGAAAATATTATAAATAATTATTCATGTTAACTGATTCATATGATAATCTAACCGGCAAGGCATTAGTGTGCCTATACCCATCACGATCTCGTTGTACTTGACCGACAAGGGATGGTTGACCTCGGTAAACTCTTTGTTGTCGGTCACTCTCGACTTCTTCAGCTGGAGGTAAGGCTTCTTCAACTTCATCGTAGATTTGCTGCAAGTGAAAGATGTAGGTGATTATTCAGTTCACCTCTCATAAATTCAATAAATAAATACTTTGATAATTTCTTGGTTCTGCAATTGCCTAGGTTGCCCCCTAGATGTCACTATAGCTTTAGGTTGTGGAGGCGGAGGTGGTGGCTGAGGCGAATATTTAGATCTGGCTGACTCGCCCCTTACTTCTTCCTTTTCTCTTTCGCGTAACCTTTCTCTTTCTCTGCTCCGTAAGCCTTGAGAACCAGAGCTCTGAGATGCTGGAGCTGATAGGGGTGGACCAGCAATCTCTAAACCGTCACAGCCTACGTTTCTTGGCCAGTCACAAGTTTGCAGTTCATGACTGAAACAAATTGAAAGGTTTTGCTTCAAAAAAATAAGGTATTCACTAAAGTTTTACAAATTATATCGTCATTAACATGACCGAATAAAATGTTATGATATACTTTTATTTAAAACCCAATCGGAAAGGGAAGTTGCCCTATCTGGAAAGACTGTGCTGATATATTCTTTATGAGAAACTTTCCTTTGATAGCTCGTGAGGTACATAAATACCAGAATAGATGAACTAGAAATGAATTGTCAACCTGATTTCAGTACACCAGACTAGGGATTATAACATTTAAATACAACTCAGCAGGAAAACACACTCGTACTAAACGACCTAACCTAATTAACTCAGAAATATTTTTTTATATAAATACGGCTAACGAACCCATCATAAGCCCTCTAGGTACGTAGTTGTCAGCTGTATCAGTCGAAGTTAGACACGGCTCAAGTAGGGATCTATCTGATCGGACTGGGATGTGCGTATCGTAACTCTATCCGAACAGATTCTTCGCCTAACGACCAAAGCTTTGCGCTACAATACAGGCTTCTTAGCTTCCATTGTAGTGCGGGCTCGGTTTCCCAGTTGCATCTGGTTTCAAGATAAAAATATAAGCTTTGTTCAGGGGGCTACGGGGTAGGGATGTCAATTTTTATCAAAACACCGGTTTTTCCATTAACCGGTTAATTTAGTAACAGTTTTAACTGCCCAGTTATAACTGATATAGAACACCGGTTATTCCGATTAACTGGTTATTCGGTTATTTTTCCGAATTTTATCAGAGTGATTGCATAATTTATACTATAATGTAGCATAAAGCAGCGTTTCCACAAGCATAGTTTATTGCGCCAGTGCACGTGCCAGTTTGCTGGCGTAATAATAGTGGCGCCAATATCTGTTTCCACTTGATATCAGAAAACTTTAACTGGCGCAGTAGAAAAATGAAAAATGCCGTCAATTTTAATAGTTCAAGCAGGTATTAATGTTGCTGTGGATATTTTGTTTCTAGAATTATTGCAGAAGACCCGAAACAACAAGAAGAAGAGACATAAACACAAGATTTGGGTACGAAAATGGATTTCACACAGAAAAACTCTAGAAGCATCAAATAATTTACTGTCTGAGCTAGCGGATGGAGACCATGAAGCATTTCCAAAGCTTCTTATTTTGCTTTTAGCAGCAGTGATATCAAATCCACTTGAGAACACGAGAACTCGCACAATACGTCAACCTTATCCTTATAGATCCCGTTTATTCCCGTCTTTGTAACACGAAATAAGTTTGTGATTTCACAAACAGGGATGCTCTTCCATAAACTTTATATGTTCAATTTTTTAGATTTACTTGACATTTTCATTATTTTTCTGGAAACGACTAGTTAAAACTTTTGTATTTTTTTTTTGGCAAAGTGGACCACAAACTGGACAAACTGTCACACATGGCAAACTGGCGCCAAAAAGTAGACCTCCATTCTACTTTACTGGCGCATGAATAAGTGGCGCAAGTTAACTGGCGCCAGTTAATTTAACGAGTTTCCACGCGCCAAAAAAGTAACGCTAGTCGACTAGCACCAATAAACTATGCTGCTTAAGTTGAATAACAACATATTTTTATTGAAAAAAAAAATCGGCCTATAACATGTTGAGAAAAAGCATCAAAGAATACCTATACTTTTCTAAACTATTATTTCTTTTCTGTCATTTTAAACATGTACCTATTGACATGTACCTTCTTAACCTACATGTACAGTCATGAGCACAAAAAGTGGGACACCCGACAGACAGGTCTTGTCATTTTTCGCTATTTTGCGTAAATCAGTCTTTTCTCTACAATCGTTTTTTTGTCAAATCCCTGTCATTGCCGTAGGTATAGCTGATGAGCCCGTTTTACAATAGGAAAAAACGGGTGCCCCACTTTTTGTGCTCATGACTGTACATGTTTTTTTCAATCCTCATCAGGGAAAGATGGGAAAGAATACCAGCTGCTGAACAAATAACCGAAACTGAAATGAAATACTAGAGATGGGCACTATCTATCGGCTAAAAATCTGAAAATATTCGACGAGAGAAAAGTCTACTTATTTCACTTTCACCGGTTATTAGGTATAAAAGCCGGTTATCCGGTTAAAACTGGAAACAAAAAACAACTGGTTTTAACCGGTTAACCATTGAGAAATCACCAGTTTTTCGGTTTTAACCACCGGTTATTGACATCCCTACTACAGGGAATAAGGGCCAAGGGTGTCAGAGATTCACGTCTCTACTCCTTCTGGGATAAGCAGGGACTACAAACCGAAGGAACGCATTTACATGTCGTTGTTGTGGCAATACACATTCTGTCCACCCTGAACATACTTTTAGTTAAACAGTTCTGGTGTTTCCTGTTATTCTTACTGTCCTTCTCAACCTTAGTAAACAAGTGAGCCTGGTCAAAGGTACATGAAAAAAATAGAAAATAACGACAGTCATTATTAATTTGGCAAATGCGTCAGTGCAAGATAACAGGTCTTCAAAAAAAAAAAACGTGAATCAAAAATGGCTATGATTTTAAACGTACGTCTCGGCAATATTTTTCTATAACTCTATAATGTCATGGACAATTTGTCGTTTGACTGATGTCATAAATAAAAACAAATAAAACGAAAGTCAAGCTCTTAGTGTATAAGCCGACGCGACATACGACATAAGTTACTTTAGGTAGTCATAAATACTTTAGGTAGTCATCATTGGGAAACATCACACAGAAAGTAAGAAAAGTGAATCCGCTGACCGCTTCCAGGACCAAGTCATCCAAAATCTTGTGACCAACTTGTATTTTTTGTGTTTAGGCTTTCTACCTCTTTGGTTCAAAAGTCGATTTTATTTCTATTATTGTAATTATCATTATTAATTATTATTCACTGTTATTATTACAATATTATTATTTGCTTATCGCGCCATCTACTAGGAATGGTGGTGAATAGCCAAACCACCCATTCCGGTGAAGTAAATGGTGAAGGTTTCGTTTTTGATTTTTTCACAATTAGTCAATGCTCGACTTTCACATTAATAGATGGCGCTGTACTCGACTCTGTTAGCAGGAGCTTATGTACAGGAGTTTCCATTCTTCTGCTGGTGAGAGTATAATATATTTACCTGTGGGCTGAGAGCCATATTCATCCTTGCCTGTACAATTTAGATGTGGTCTTGATTAAGGCCGAGAGAAGATCACAGGTATTAGCCGGATCTGAACCACTCAGAACATTTAATGAGTTTTCTATAGTTGGTTTTTACCAGATTTTACACTCAAAAAGTGCCTTATTCCTACTCTACGCGCAGCTACTGTTGCATCTAATTATTATAAATCAAATAGAGTAAATGTATGGTTTTTGGGCGGCGATTGGTTTCTTTAAAGGAGAATTCACACCAAAGCAATAAGCAACTAGCAACGCGCGATACGCAACACGTTATCGGTTTCAAAAAGTACACAATAAATAATATATCTATTCATACCCAACCGACGCCGATATCACCCGGAGGAATATCTGCGGGTGATGCACGATTTTTATCGCCGGCAACATGGTCTGTCGATCGCTAGAGATACATGTTACTTGGTCGTGTTTATTTTTCTTCAAAATGGAAGACAGGGAAAATTCATTTTTGTGCAAATTATTGAAAAATGTATGATAACACACCCCCAGATTACTCTAAACGCCAAAGTTACCGAAAAAGCTTGGAATTTAGTAGCTAGTGAAGGTATACCTGAGTCTTTTTTTAATTATTGTTCATCCAACGGCAGTATCTCAGTGATTTGGGTGTAGCACACCATTTTCGTTTTTCCGCTTCTGCAGATTTCTATTGCTAGTTGTTGTCATAGTCTTATCGTGTTGGTGTGAATTCAGGACCAATACGATTTATATGTTGCGTATCGCGTGTTGCTAGTCGCTAGTTGCTTATGGCTTTGGCATGAATTCTTCCTTAGGAAGAATTCACACCAAAGCAATAAGCAACTAGCAACTAGCAACTAGCAACGCGCGATAGTCGCGATACGCAACACATTATCGCTTTCAAAAACTACACAATGAATAATGTATCTATTCATACCCAACCGATGCCGATATCACCCGATGGAATATCTGCGGGTGATGCGCGATTTTTATCGCCGGCAACATGGTCTGTCGATCGCTAGAGATACATGTCGCTTGGCCGTGTTTGTTTTTCTTCTAAATGGAAGACAGGGATAATGTAATTTTTGTGCAAATTATTGAAAAATATCCCTCTTTGTATGATTACACACTCACAGATTATTCTAAACGCCAAGTTACCGAAAAAGCTTGGAATTTAGTAGCTAGGGAAGCAAACATTTCAGGTAGGTAAGTAATCAAAACAGGGAAAAATAGATTTGTTTTTTTTTTGTTTATCCAACGGCACATTAATAAAAATAAAATTTGATTCTGTAGAAGTATCTCAGTGATTTTAAAATTACAGATTTGTAATATAGATTGCTAGTTGCTGTCACAGTCTTGTCGTGTTGGTGTGAACTCAGGAACAATACGATTTTTATGTTGCGTATCGCGAGTTGCTAGTTGCTAGTTGCTTATTGCTTTGGTGTGAATTCTCCCTTAAGGATTTTAAAATAGATGGAATGAAAACTGTGTCGCTTTGTCAACGTTTTCCATGATTCTATTTAAATGGTTAATCAGTTCTAGAAATAGCACAGAGACACGCTATCGCACATACGAGAGTCAATAAGTGGTACCCACACAGCGTGATACGATAAATACATATTTATTATTTTTGAAATTACGGAGTAGGTAAATACTCCGCTCATATAATGCTATTTTCATCAAATTTACCGATAACAAATGGGCTGCTGTCAAAACATTCGGTAAAAGGCCTGTTTATATACATTCTCTTTCACGAACATCGAAACAGAGGCGTTTTAGGGTATTTTAAGGTCGATTTACAAAAAAAGCTCGGGCACGTAATTTTTGTATTCAAGGGGGAAACTTTTTGACCCCGTTGGTATTTCACTAGGGCGCACCCCCTGGGAGAGGAAAGTCAGGAAAGTGTTAATTTGAGAATAACAGGACCAGAAGATTGTTTCTTATTTAGCCCATGGCAACTTTGACAGTGAATATCTTCAGAACCAATCATTCGATTAAAAAAAAAATACGCAGTTTTCACAAGAATCAAAATACCATTAAAACAAGGTACCACTCGACCCATCTCCCCTATCTAAAAAACAGGGGTGAAAGAAAGTCACACCACCCTAGCGAAATACCGTCAATACCGATGGGGTCAAAAAGTTTTCCCCTTTGAATACAAAAATGACGTGTCCGAGTGTATTTTTTTTTAAATCGATCTTGAAATACCCTAAAACACCTGTGTTTCGAGGTTCGTGAAACACCCTGTATACATATAATATAACAGAACCCGTGAATCTATCAAATTCGAAGCTGTAAACTGATCTCTGCTATGGCCAGTCCTCGAGTACTTTACAGCCAGGAAGCCTATTGAGAAGCATACTCTCACGGTAACTCAGGTCATGGGTAGTGTGCATTACCTATCGTTTTTCATACGGCATTTAAATGTCTAAGAACCAGATCGCGGTAATCTCACGCATATTACGCCACATCGTCAACCTCACGCGTTACAGCACGTTTTAATTTTTATCTTTTTACATTATAAACAGCTCGTGAGGAGGTTCATTTGCTTTTTTTTTTGTATATAATTTTTACTGAAATGCATGAAATTTGATGGAAAAACTCAGAAAATAATATGATACAATCACGGATTCATGGAAATGGATCAGCTAGGCTGGACATTTGAAGGGCACTACAAATACCGGATAGGTAATTATTAATAGTATTGTCCCAGAGTCTGTGGGTCCACTAAAACTCTCTTCATTAACAACAACAACTTTTTTTTCAAATTAAATTACTGATCATTGAACCCTCCGAATAAGGAGCGGACTTCCCAACTATAATCACTTATCCCTTTTACTTAACTTTATGCCACAATTCTGTTATTTAGAACTGACTCCAACTTACAAACTACGCGCTTTATGTACGAAAACATACAATCTAGAAATTTCTTGAATGTGTGTAAATTCTTGTTAAACTTAAAGATTGTGCTGCGACTTATCCCGATTAAATGCATCGCGACAGCACGACACCTCAGGTGAGATGACAATAATAGTCTGGTTCCGCTTCAAATAACAGAAAAACCCTGATTAGCGGAACGGCAGCAGGAATTTATGGTTGTTCCGACCGTGCAATTATTGATACAGATACAGATTTGGGAATCAAAATATTTATGTTGTAATTGGTAATTCCTACATTTACTACACTGACAATAATTGTTAAAATTTCAGTTTTGCTAGTTTTCTAAATTACTGACAAATTAAGCTAAATTATATTTTTGATTGATTTGTTGGTATTTTTACCTGTACATCAAACCTCCAGTGCATGATTCTAATAGAGCACCACCAAATACACAAACATAATACTGCGTACAGTCACTTGGATGGGGATAGTAACCAAATTCTTCAGGACAATCGAAATTTGCTCTTGCTCGTTCTTTAGTTTCTGATACTGTTGGTAAGGGCCGGGCAACTTTTCTTTGGCTTTCAGCAAAACCTGGAAATATATAATAAAGAAATTATAGTTTGAAATTAAATAATATATGATTTATTAGATAATAGAGCAAAATATAAGTAAGCAGTGGGTTACGTGTAATTGCCGTAATTATAAATCAACTTTTAACCTTTATGTTAGAATTGCAAAATAAGTATTTATCTAGTAACAATCAATTTCTGTTGCAAAAGAGGCCGGAGGTCACAAACGTTTTAGAGCATGTACTAGATTTATAGTATGTACTTTGGTATGGCGAACTATTTCAAACAGTACCCCTTACATTTCCTTGTCACTTCGTGCTTTATTACCCATAAATAATAAGCAGAAATTTACGTAGGAACAGTTTACATGATGGTGCAAATAATTATTCACTTGATGGTAATGTTTTTCAAACATAGGCCATCTCTTCTCATGTTTGCGAAATTACTTATGAGCTGGGAAACAATTATGTTAAAATTTGTCGTCATTTTTACTGTCAAACTTCTTGAATTAAATATATAATATTTTAAACTACATCAAAATTGTAAGTTTATTGGGTAAATTCAATTGTTTCGAATTTTGTCAAGAATCCAAACTTGAATCTAAATTATAAAGAGACTACTTACTAAACATTTCTGGCTTTTGGAACTAAATATAGAAAATAAATAATGATTTTGACAGTACCTAAAATAACTATATCTCTTATGGTATAAAGAAGAATACATATTGGGCTAGAATTTTGCAATGAAACAAAAGGCCTAATATTACCAGTTGGCTATTTCATTTTGTTAACAAATATAAGCATATTGTTGTTTGTGTAAATATAAGATATCAATAGCAATCAAAAAACCGCATCATTAGTTATAGAATTTCATGAATTAGTTACACATTCATCTCAAACGGGTACTTAACGAACAATATCAATAATTTTTGGTGACGTTACGTAACAAATAGCTTTAGTTGTACCGGTCTTTCAGTTTAATTATAAAGCCTTTATGCAATGAAAAAAGCGGAACATGACCCATATCTGTTGTACGTATGAACGATCATTTGTAGTATATTCACATGTTTCTATGTACGTACACATAACAGTCTACCGGTAAGTGGCAGGTATATGGGGGTATAAAAATTTGTTCATACTGTCTCCTTGTTATTAATCAGATCAAATCGAATCAAACATGCTTTATTGTCGTGTTACATTCTTGTTTACAAAGACAAAAAAAAAAAATGAAATAACAGTATAAAATGCATAAAATTAAACTTAGATAAAACTTAAAACCTAAACTAACATAATAACACGAACACGTCGTCAAACAAGTCAATGAGTTAGGAATAATAAAAATGGAAACACAAACAAAAAACAAAGACACTTTTTAATGCAATGTGCACCCGCCGATAGGAAGAAATGGATATCAGAATTGACCATCATGATACCACAGGATACTCTGATATACCATGATAGTGTCGCTCCAATAGTAATTCCTTCACTGAAAATGTGAGTTTTTTTTTTACAAAATAAATACATATTCCTGATTGTGAGAGGTAGGTAGTTTATTGAATAATTGTCTGCTGGCAAATATTAGTGAGTTTTTTATTTGCGAAGAGAAAGGTATCGGCAGGTTCCCCGTATGTTGTAGTTATGCAGACTGGTCAATATATTGTCCCTATATACTTCACACTAATAGTGCTGGCAGCTTTAGCAATCCGTGCCTTACAAACAGCTGCCTACAAAAATTATGCCGCGATACTTTGCTCATAAATCTTACTGGCCTTTTGTGAAGTACAAAGACACTATTAAATAAACCCTTCGAACATGACCCCAAAAACAAATTTCGTATCGCAAATGAGATTCAATCAGTGCAGAGTATTTTGATACCTGTTACTTGAATTGCTCTGAAACCACCTCAGAGCCACGCACCTCTGAACCTATAAACTTCCAGTTTCTACCGCAGGTGGGTGTAAGGAAACAATTAAAGCTTATCGGTAATATTATAATAATTTAAATAAGCGCTTGTATTAGCTCCAAAATTTTGATTGATATTTTTTCGTTGAAATAACCAGATAATTACTGCGTTAACGAATTTCCAAGACATTTAAGAAGTTCTCGAAATATTTGAAAAAACGATATGAATCGATACGCATATTTTCTGAGATAACTATCAGTGCTTCACTTATGACACTAAACTGACGTGACGTGGTGGCTCCATTCACTGCTCTTTTACAATTCTTCTGTTGTCTCCTGTTTACGTGTTACTCAAATTATATAGATTTTATTCTAAAAATAATAAAAAACTTTGGCGTATGGCTAATGTAAATTACCAACAATTTCATCATTATGTATAAAACTAGAAGAAATAAATAAACAAATTATTAAATAAATTTCTATTCAATTAAATTTACCACATTATTAGTTGGCCTTGACTTTTCAATGAAATAGGAACAAGACTTCCAAGAAACGAAGTTTTACGAAATTCTACATCTTACGGAACAAAATCTATGCAGTTTATCTCCTATCGTACTAATAGATACAGGCGAAGATACAGGTAACTAGTTTTATTAGATCTCGTGGTTTTTCTTTTCTTATATCTAGGTATTATGAAACAAACAAGATCGTTTTTTATAGGCAAAACAATATTTGCGTGTGCATACGGATACGATTGGCGAATGGAAGGCCAGTGGTGACCACACCCAAGATGGATGACCTTCGATCTAAGACAACAATCGTCCTGGTGACTTTTTTGTTGCTAGTTGATACCGGTTCGTTGTTTTTTATATTGCAATTTATGTGTCCACCTAGTTTGGTTACACTCTATTTTTAATTTTAGAAAACAAAATCTTTTACGAAAGTTTCGTATTCGGTCCCATCTGAAAAGTAGAATTCATTGATCAGTTACTAAAATAAATCAGCCAAATACTGGTTATGTCAACAAATAAAGTCTGACGCAGAACCCAAAGCGGTTCTATTTTTGACAAAATACAAAATTGTTACGATGAAAAATAGCTTAGCACTGAAAACTACATTCAATAAAAGTGTAGAGATTTCGAATTCTCCAATAAAATTTATATAGGCTGTGTTAATAAGAGCTGTCAACATGTTTCAGTACCATGAAACTGAAATACTACAATATGCAATAAAATTAAGAATCTACCTAAAAAGATGTTCTTCAAAAAAAAAAGTAGATATGCAGGATCCTGCTCATTACACTTTCTAATTTGAGAGGTCAAAGATGAAGGGCGCCTGATCCTTCTGTCCCGCTATAGAAGCTGGATCTTCGAGATGCTGAGTTTCATCTCTAGATCTTAGCTGACTTGGAATCTTTGTAAAGGGAGCATAGGTTGCTTTGGTGACGTTGAAGAAGGATCTAGTGTTGTTAGAGGCGGCTAAATGTTTTCGTTATTCGACATTCCTGTTCTTTTTTGTAGATACTAAAAACTAATCGTACGATTTGAGATTTTGCCATAAGTCTGTAAAATGAGTTATGGTGGGTTCGTTTTTTAAAAAAAAATAAGTAAGGGGTGGGTGAAGCAAAATGACTCAAAAAGTGCCTTATTTTGGTTCCCTCTTCAATTTCCCGATACGTATTTGAGATTTTCCTGATAGTATTTTTTTATCTAAAAGATATTCCTGATTGCTACTTTTCGAATTGTCACCCTGTACATATACTTGGCGGGCAATTTCTCATTCAATAGGAGCTTGGGATTCTTCATCTTGAAGTTGCTAATATTAATCCTGCGTTGTGCTTGCTTTCTTTGCCCCCATTGTTTTATTGGTATTTGCAGCGCTCGGACCATTTGGTGGTCAATCCAAAAGTCATCAGCATGAATTATAGCTTTGGATACTTCCGCGTCGCTCCCTCAATAACGTAGTCGCTGAGATGTTAGGGCTTCGAGTTTCGATATTGTTTCCAACTTATTTTTTTGACGAAAGAGTATTTGTGTTGACGTCTGCTCTGAAAAATTGGTTAGTAGTGTTAGATCTTATGTGAATTCCATATTTTCTAATATGAAATAATTTCAGCAAATCATCATAGACATACACATTCTCCGGAAAGTCGTTGATTTTTTTACTTCGAGAGCAATTGGTGTTATTGAAAGTTGTTAACTCTTCCTGTGCAATATTGACAGCACATTGGTATCCCCATGACAGGTTTTTGGGCAGTTCCAATTCTTTTTCAGCCTATTTAAGCCAAACATTATCCAACAAGCTAGGTACTAATTAATCGACGATGGAATTTACTTGGAAAACAACAAAATAAATAATGTCGATATGACAATGGATGCGTTTATGAAATAATCTCTTATGAAACGCTAAGTAATTATTGTGAGATGCATGAAAGTACCTATAAGAGCCAACTACGCACGAGTGACACAATAACACATATTTTTTAAAAGTGCCATACATAAACAATGATAAAATAATATATTGATTAAATATTACTTAAAAGAGCAATAATTACTCTGGCTCTCAGGATATTAAACACAGTTATAGTTTCGACATTTTAAAAATTTTGCAACAACAAACGTTCATGTGAAAATTTTGCTTACTAATATTAGTTGCGGTCTTATTTATTACCCATAATTTTATGCTCACTATTTGTACCAAAGGTCGGAGAGGATCTTCATGAATTACATCAGGTATTTATACGAGAAATCTTTGCCCCAGTAACTCATTACGTGGTTAAATAACCGGTAGTTCTTGACATTTAGTTACTTATAAAATGGGTCAAATTCAATACTCTGCGAATAAAAAAAAAAGTTGTTGCATATTATGAACAAAACAATTAAACACTATTGAATAAACAGTTATGGTCTCTCGGCAAATACGTTCACTTATTCGAAACGCCTACTCTATTTTTTTCAATCAAAATACCACCACACTGTTTAATAATAATAGGCAATATTAATGTGCCGTTTCAAATAACATGCTCTCCTAGTTTGCAAATAATCACAAAATTGACTTTCCAATAGCCACGTGGAACACGGGCTTATTTTCAACATTTCCTGTATTTTTTACCTTTCCTGTG